TTCTCGGTGATGAGAATACGAGGATTCTCATAATTTTTCTTCATATACTTCAAAACGTTTCTGAGTCCTGTTGGATACGTGAAACTCCACTCTGATCCTCCTTGTTTCGCTATTTGTTTCCCATCTATGTTGGTTTCTGCAGAAATGTGTTTTAGTTAGTTTTACATCATCACTTATCATTTCATCATGACCATTATCATCAAAAGACATACTCATCCAATCTACACGTTGATCAGTTCTCCAAGTGGGTTGCGTAGGATCCACGTGTTTGATACTCTTTACGAAAAGCGAGCTGTAGTAGTTTATACCAACGTAGTCACAAGAACCTATCAGTTTCTTGGATTGTTCTGGTGTAAAACTCGGTAACCGATCTCCTACTGATTTCTTCATCGTTTCTGGATAGTCTCCATACACTGTCGGATGATGATGCCTGTAACAAGACAATAAGAACTTTTATGAACTTTCATCTCAAAAATAATCGACAATGAGAAAGACTAACTCATTCTTATTAGATTTATTTTTTTAAAATGTTACCATTACTAAGAAGTTTGAAGTTAACTGCACTTACCAACCAATCATGAAGTCCATAGCTCGATTACATCCATCTACATCCTCTGGATCGCTAGGATCATAAGGTTCGTACCAAAGCGGATTATGCGCAATTCCGATTTGTCCATTTTTAATCTGCGTAGTATTCAAATCAAATCACTAAAACACCAACAAAAGTTACAGTATATTTATAGAAAAAGTTGAGCTCTCTACTTACATTGTCACATTTCCTAAAGACTTCCACAGCTTCCGCGTGCGCAAGAAGCAAGTTATGGCTCACGATATAGGCCTCGTATCCGGACATTCCAGCAATACTTGCCCCGTTTACATACTTGGAGCAACGTCCTGGCGCTTTTCTCCCTGTGTCATAACCGGCAACACTGTAGACCCATGGCTCATTCAGTGTGCACCACAGGCTCACTCTATCCCCAAATCTCTCGAAGCAGAGACTCGCGTAGTCTCTAAAGTCATCTCTGTATTTAAACATAATCTTTAATCTCTTGAACGGATACATCCACCACATTATAGTCGAAGCTCAAGTGAAATGAATTGGCTTACATAATCTGTTCGCTTAGAAAACCGCCATATTCATCTTCAAGATCCTGAGGAGTGTCCCAATGAAAGATAGTAACAAGAGGAGTGATTTCATTGGCTAGGAGTTCATCGATAACATCATTGTAAAACTTTATTCCTTCTTCACTAACTCCTCTCTCCCTTTTGCCATCTGTTTTTTATTTTTCACAAAATCAACCAGAGATTATTATCGATATGGAACCACGATGAATATCAGATCAAATAAGGTTTCAGAAAGTGTAATATGCTTACAAGGTAAAACTCGTGGCCAAGCAATGGAGAGCCTGAACGAATCCATGTTTATATCTTTCATTCTCTTGATATCTTCCTGTACAAGAAATTCATCACAGATCTTCAGTATTGTAACTAATTACCTTAAGAAGCAAGAAATCGAAAAAGTCAACTACAAGATAGACAGTACCTTGTAACGATGAAAGAAATCAACGGCGACGTTTCCGTCACTAGAATCACTGATTCTGTGAGGAAATCTGTTTGAGAAATGATCCCACATGCTTTGGCCTCTCTCACCTTCAGTGACTGCTCCTTCATACTATACAAAAAACACAAACTGAAGTAAATATCATTTGATCTTGTTATGTTTTTTTTTTTTTTTTGGTTTGTTCTCGGTACTTGATTAGTCTAGTTTTATTTACTTGGTAAGAAGAAGAGGCAGTTCCAAAGAGAAAGCCTTTTGGAAAGCTAGCTCTGCCTTTTGACATCGATGTAGGATATGTTCTTTGAAGACTGCAGATTAATTTCAAAACATTAAAGATTGTCTAAAAAGTCAAATAGAAAATGTTAAAGTTTCCTTACGGTATGAATCTTGGAATGGTTGAGATCATAGAAAGGTAAAAGAAAAACAGAGCACTCACTGTGTCATCTTTTCGTGGGTTTTGCCTTGCCTGCTACTAAAGCTTTTCTTGATATCTGCTGAAGAATTTTTGAGTCGGAAGATCTTGGAGAAGAAAAGATAAAATGATGCAAAGAAGTAGATCTACTATGAAATAAATATCTCTGGTTATAGATCTTGAGTTAAAGCCTCATATCATATATAAATGCGTGATAGAGAGATACAGATAATTGAGAAGTCAAAGTGGGGTTATAAATTATTTTTTATGCAGCATTATTACTTTTAAAATCCTATTGCAGACCGTTCCTTGTTTGCTTATTAAAAAAATTATCAATAAGGCCGGTCAACTTCAAGTTTTTCAGCATATTAATGGAATTTATAATAAATTTATATTTGTTCCTCTTTTTAATTTGATAAAACTTGTCCTTTCCCGTCTACTTGATTAAGGAGTGCATATGTAATTCTTATTCTTAATTATACATTGCCTGTCTCCCTTGTATCATTCATCAATAATCCACTTTCAGTTGAAAAATGCAGTTGCCATGAAACCCACAAGTTTTCAGTTTAGGTTTTGATAAGCATGGTTTATAAATCGTATTCCTACCATAATATATAAATTGAGTACCACATAAGTTCCATGGGACCTACTCAACACCTAATCCATGATAGAATAGATTATAACTTTACTTCCACTAATGCTTTGCTCTAACACCGAAAACGCACATGCTTTAAAGCCGCATATTAACTAACATGCATGCATAATTTGTTTAAAAAAAAAACATGCATGCATAATTATTAATTTATTTTTAATTATAAATATACTTTTGTTAGTTACTTTTTAGTTTTTTTGCGCTTTCTGAAGTTCATGGTCTTAATATTAGAAATAAAATAGTTTAATTCTTATGAGATGTGATTATCGTCGAGTCCTCGTTTTTGATTATAGATATATATTGACATAATGTTATTCATCATTTAAAAAAACATAATATTATTATTATTATTAAATGGACGACAAAAAGAGAAATATTATTATTATTATTAGTATTATCCATCAAGTTTTTTATATAGAAAAAAAATAGGAGAAATTGATCCAAATGTTGTTGGGACCGAAGCATGTAGGAGCGTCGGCGTTGACTTTGAATCGTTGACGAGAGACTGGGTAAGAAAGAAGTAGGGTATATTCGTAATTTCATCAGGAAATGCGTGAACGGTGTATGTTGTTTGACTTTGTCGTGGACTGTATGGGCGGGGGACCCACTTGACAAATTAGAAGCAGTCTTGATGATGACGTGGCGTCGAAACTGGTCAAATTTGCCGTCGATTTTTTAAATGACAAAATCACAGGACAACTCAACTTCAGATTGGTTTTCAGATTAGTTACTAAGATTCAATACTTGTAATATTAAAATACCTTAGTCACTGATTAAGTGCCTATAGAACTATTGTAACCCGAATTATTCGTCTTTAAGAGAGTTATTGCTTATTTCTGTTAGTGTTAGCGACTGCTTATTTTATGATTCTTATCGTATAACTCTAGCTATAAAAATGTCATATCGTTTTGTTTTTTTGGCTAAAACAAATAACGTGAAGTTCAGGAAAAAAACAAATAACGTGAATAAAAACTCATTATTTAACTAAAGTACAAAATGATAATCTTCTCATTATTAACAAAAAAAAAGTTTTTATTAATAGGTTGGTGCATGCAATAACTGTGTGACGTGATCAATTTCATTCTTCATGATGTGTTGTTGTAAATGGCTGATATTTTTCATTGGTACACAGAAGTAGGTGACTCAAATAAATTCTTCTCCAACGACCCGAAATATTAAACCGGTTTGCTTTATTCGGATCTCCAAACCGTGTGCTTAAACCACGGTCCCATAGGTTTTGATGAATATTCATTCAAAAACAAAAATCTAGATTTATCTAACTAAACGCTATACGTAATCAGGTCTTGGAGAAACACTGCTAAGTCACGTATCAGTTTTTTTTTTTGGAACAAAGGTTCTAAGTCACGTACTCTTAATGAATACACAATCAAGTTAAATAATTTTTTTTTAAAAAAAAAAATCGAAACTAAACCGTAACGAACCGATGCGAGCGCCTACAGTTACCATTGTCACTCTTGTTCTTTGCCTAAGTAACAATTTAGCTACAATGTAAACTTTTCCGACTCGTGTGTTTTTTTGAGAAATCATTAAAATCACAAACCGATATCCAGTTGGTGAACTTGTTCACTACGTACCTATTGTTCCATTTCCAACTAGCTGATGGCAAAAAGCTTCAACTCTTCTTCAAACTCAAACCTAAAACTCTCGATCCATAGATACTCATATTCTTTAGCTTCTTGTTTAAACTCAAACCTAAAACTCTCGATCCATAGATACTCATCGTCAGCTTCTTCTCCACTCGGTACCTTCCTTATTTATTGCTCGATTGGCGGTCTAATCTTAATAAATTTTGTTAGAATATCAAGTATTACGAATAATATGGATTAATTATATTATCATTAATCTTATTATCCATAGATAAGATTAACATGTATTTTTTAATGAATTAACCAGAAAAGAGATAATGTCATCTGTCTTTGATATATTGTTTTTTTATTTGTTTGTTTACGTTTAATGTTAGACCCCATATTTCTGAAATATTTTGTTTATTTAGATGAGGAATGGTATACATGTAACTTTTCTTTACCATGTTTTAATAAAATAATTCCAACGGTTATGTAATATTCACAATATAATATTGCATGAAATGGTTAATAAATAAGAAATGATTTTTCAATCTATTATGCATGTTTATAATTTTAATTAGTTTAGAAAAAAAAAACTTCAATCAACCATTTAATATATAATATTTCTCTCGTTTTTTTTTCTTTCGCTTTTTCTATGTTTACCCATTTAAAAATGATGATAATATCTATTATGCATGTTTATAATTTTAACTAATAAAAACTTCAATCAACCATTTACTATATACTATTTCTCTCGTTTGTTTTTTTTCTTTCGCCTTTTCTAGTTTTACCTATATAAAATTAATGATAATATTTATGTTTTTTAAGGAATTTGGGTAGTGAGAGAGTAAATACATACCCAGGATTTTGGGCAGTGAGAGAGTAAATATCTACCAAAATCACAAGTTAATCTTGTAAGAAAAAACATCATCGTAAACGTATATTTTGTAATCTACAATACGACAAAGATTCAGGTGCATGATCCTAATTTTCCAAAGAACTTAGATCATCTGCAACGCAGACCACCATTTCTTGGTACTCTTAAACAGATCCAGTGGTGTAAATTGTTCCGATCTCTCGAGGAACTTTTTGAACCATTTGGCTGAATCTTTAGCATATCGTTTTAGATCATCGGCATAATCAACGTAGTGCAGACCAAACCTCATTGTGTAGCCACGTTCCCATTCAAAATTATCTAACAACGACCATGCAGAATACCCCCTCACGTCACACCCATCCACACTGCATTTGTGTATACATATTTCAAATTAATGTTATAGCACATATGAATTACTAGTCAGCAAAAATATAAAGTGAAATTCACGTACGTGATTGCTTTGTGGAGTTCTTGAAGATGTTTTTCATGGTACTCTATTCTCTTTGTGTCCTTTAAAATTTGCTCACGTGGTTTTGTTTCAACATCGTAGTCCTCATATCCTGCAATATATTTTTGGTTATTTAGTTAAACTAATAACATAAAGATATATTAGGTGATAAGTAGTGAAATCCTCGTTATTTTATCAAATGCTCATTACCATTTTCTGTTATGTAAATAGTTGGGTTGTTATATTTATCTTTAACATAATTTAGAATCTTGCGTATGCCTTCAGGATATGTGTAGAGAAGTTTTGATCCATCCTGAGATTAAAAGGAAAAAGAAAACTAAGTTAAACAAATTTTCCTAAAATTGTAAGTTACATAGAATATATCTGAGAGATATTGTAGGTCATACCGATTCTGAAGAGATATAATCGCCGTTACAATTTGTCACTATAAGAATGAAAAAAAGCAGTTTTTATATATTAAAAATAAATGGGGATTAGAAAACTAAGCCCAAATATATGTTATTAATGAGGTACTAACCTTTATATTCGAGGTGTTGATCCGTACTGAAACTAAGTCGTGTAGGGTCGCGATGAAGCTGGTGAGCAACGAATCGAGCAGTGTAGTAATTTATTCCAATGAAATCAAATGAGTTTTTGATTGATTCTGACTGTTCTTTGGTAAAAGAAGGCAATCTATTTCCAGCATTATTCTTTATCGTTTCCGGATAATCTCCAAAAACTAGAGGATCAAGATGCCTACATAAACAATAAAATAATCAATTACTTGTTAGACTAATTAACTTATTTGAAATTATAGTTAAATTAGTAAGTTTGTAAATAAGACAACTTACCAACCAACATAGGAGGCAAGAGATCGTGCAACTGCTTCTTTATCAGCATGGGAAGCGACATCATAAGGTTCGGCCCACACAGGTGATAACACCATGCCTATCTTACCATCTTGTGAGATCTGTTTTGCGAAAACAAACTGATTAGTATCACAGAGGAATGTTAAGGTTATATATATATATATTTTTTTCCAACCATTTAATGTAGTGAGGTTATATACCTTGTCACAATTTCTAAACTCTTCAACAGCTGCAGCATGAGCTAGAAGAAGATGATGAGAGACTAAGTACGGTTCTGTGCTCGAATCGCCAGCCACACATAAGCTGTTTACCCATTTCGAGCAACGTCCCATTGCTTTAGTACCCTTGTCGTAACCCGCAACGCTATAAATGTATGGCTCGTTGAACGTTATCCACATATCCACCTTGTCACCGAATTCTTGGAAGCACAGTTTTGCAAAGTTCCGGAATTCATCACTGTATTTGCGAACATCAACAAAAAAAATTAAGAACAGATTACTCTTTACGTATTTGATTTTGGATTATTTCCTATTCTATAAATGGTAAGAAATGAAAGAATCTATTTTTTTTTAACTTACATGATTCGAGGGCTTAAGAATCCACCGTACTCATCCTCTAGAACTTGAGGGATATCCCAATGGTAGATAGTTACAAAGGGTTTTATGCCTATGTAAGATCGGAAATAATAGAAATTAATTTTTAGACTTTAATATCTAATATATATACTATTATGCATAGTATACACTCACCATTATTGATAAGTTCATCAATGAGATTTTTGTAGAATTGAATCCCTTCGCTGTTTACTCCGTCGCTTACTTTTCCGCCTGTATATTCAGATTTTTAAAGATCAACCATTGATTATAAGTTTATATATGCATATAGGACGTACTTATGTAGCTATTATTAAAATTATTTTTTTCGAAATTTAAAGTGACACTCACTTGGTAATATTCTTGACCAAGAGATGGAAAATCTGAAAGTATCCATATTCATTTCCTTGATCAACTTGATGTCATCCTGCTCATTTAGTACGTGAATTTACGGTAATTATGAGTTAGACGCAAAAAACAAAATATTATTTATTTTTTTGGTAAGAAAAAACAAAATATTATTAAAGTAAGTTGTCGGTCAACAATGCTATGTTCCACCTACTTCTCAGCAAGAATATGTTTTGTAAAACATGTTTCAAATGGTTTCTCTGTAGCCAACCATATCAAACAATAGTGACATATTCAGTAAGAAAATTGAAAAAAAAATCCTAAAATCATACCTTGTATCGATGATAAAAATCAACGGCTATATCTCCATTGTCCATATTTGTCCTTTCTGCAAAATTTAACCAAGTTACTTTATTACTATTTATGCAAAAATATATTTGGCTTTTATTAAAACATAAAATATTTTAGATTTTATCAGCATGATTGAAGATAGATTTGAAATTAATTCTCCCAAATATTGATAAATATTTTAGTGAAAAAAGTAAAGGAAATTAGATTAAATTTATACCTGGATATGCATGTGTGAAGTTGTCCCAAGTGCTCTGTGTCCTTCCTCCTTCAGCGAATGCACCTTCATACTGCATCACATGAACGTAAATATATCATCAAATACTAGTTTCACCAATTTCTAAAAAATATTAAGCAATAGATACAGTAGAATTTGCTTAATATCATAAAGTTATTTTAGCAACACCATTACATAAAAACCACCTAACCTGATAAGCTGAAGAACCAACACCAAAACTAAAATTCGGAGGAAAACTATAGCGATCCAGTTGTTTCGAAAAACTTAGAAATCTTCCCTTGGAAACCGCGCATGAGGCTAGAAAGAGTGTGACAACAAGTGCAAGCTTAGTATTCATATTTAGTAGCCGAAGTGAACAAATTAAATGAATAACTCAAGATCTAACTAGGGCGTCTGAGAAATGTTTATCAGTGTAGAAGAGCTTATATAGAAGAGAGAGGAAGCTAGGGCATAAACGTGACGATTTAAAAAAAGCAGTTTTAAATACCAAGATATCTCAAAATTTTGAAAAACACATGCCAAATTGATGCTCTTAGACTATGGAATTAAATAATCTTTATTGGCTTTAATTGACTTTTATTTATTGACTGAATAATCCCATTTGACTGAAAGTTTTTTTATTATTAATATAACCGAGAATTTCCAACCAAAATCCACACTAATTCTCGAAATTTGTTGAGCGCCATATATTCTTTCTATCTAAATTATTTATGATGGTCAAATATGAATAAAAATTACTCCCTCAGTTCCTTAATGTATGATTCTTTAGATTTTTTACAAGTTTTAAGAAGTAATCATTAATTATTCTTTTCAGTTACTTTTTTATTTTAATATTTCTTTATATTAGTTATTTTAATGTATATTTTCTTTTTTCAAGAATAAAATGTTCTCGGAAAAAGAAATAGATTATATATAATCCAAAAAATCAAATTTTGTAGAACAAATTTTTTTTCTAAAACATCAAACTTTCTGGAATAGAGGAAGTACTACATTACATTAATGCGTCGCACAGCTTTAAATTTTTGGAGTGATAAAGTTTTTAACGGTAAACTATGATATATCATAAATTATATATGTATGCAATAAGTGAAGTTTCGGAATGGGATGAAGCGCAATTATTGGAAGAAGCAACACATCTCAAATGGTACAACTGAATATTTTTGTTAGTCTATATCGACCCATTTGTCAGATAGATAGATCGTAGAGGCGCAAGAGTTTGTTTTCAAGATTAGGATGACGTTTGTTCAATGTAAATGGGCGTCAAGGGACAGCGTCAAAGTTTACTTATTTGCACGCAAAGTTTAAAGTCGAATATGAGGTTATGAAGTGTGGATTGTATATGATCGATGATGCAACAGAAGTTGGCAATTTCTTCAAGACAGATTCTTTCAAGCTAATGAAGATGGTATTATATTTGGAGGTTTAGCATGCTTTCTCTACATTAATTATTTGCACTGTTTGTAGGCTTAAAATCTCGTTTTCACCTTTTTAAGTCCTTGACCATATCAATATTTGATTGTTTTACGTTAATTTACTTTACAATAATTGTGAGTTTTTTTCAAGACTATATACTAGTAAGAAAATTCGGTTGTATACAAGATCTGGTCAAAGACTTAAAATAAAATAAAAAATCAAATACTCATATAATATTTTGGAAAATTACATCTAAATGTTCGAAACAAAATCAAACTTTTTTCTTATTATAATGCGTATAATATGAATTAACTAGGTAGTTACGTGGCGTTAGCTAAATACAATAATAAGAAATAACTAATGAAACCGTGATTCTCATCACATGTTTTCATTTCTTTCTTTTTTTATCCTTTCACCAACCATTTTCACGTCTACTTTAGAATAATATTTTCTGACCAAATCAATGAATTACTCACAACGGCGGCTAATAAATTAAGCTTAGGTATAAATAAGTCAGGAAAATATAACAGAAAGAAGCAACGAAGTAGTGCATGCCTTCGGTTTACATATCTCTTTGAAGGAATTGATGCAACATACAAGTACCCCTTTGCATGATTTTTATTCAGTGCTCGATTTTTATATTTTTCTTCGTAAATACTGTTTATGATTTTCGTAATATATTCGAAGTTGTATAAGCGAAGTTATAATAACAGGCAGGATAAAGGAGATGTCAACAATAGGAAAACATTCATATCACGTGTTAGTCTTTATTGATATTTTCCTCCGTGGATCATTTTTCACGATTTCTAATAATTCTCTATAAAGCTCAAGCCACCATTTTTGTTCAGTACGCAAAAGAACAAGGTAGCCTTCTCGTGGCATGGGATACATCAACAAAGACTTTTCGTACAAAATTGGAATTATTATATGTAAAAACAACAAAGACGCGCTTGGTGTAGTGATTAATGAGATTTCTTTATAAAAAAAAATATGTAAAAACAATTATTATATTGACAAAGACTGTTTGTGTAAGATTTTCGGTATCCATTGTTACTGTTGAAGATCGTTAAGAAGAATACACTTTTAACTGAGGAATAAATAAATATCACTTGGAACGCTGGTGTAGTGCATTCCGTTGGTCCTCTTCTAAGCCGTTACATACACTTTGGGTCATGATAAAATTATCCGGCTTGTTATAGATTTTGTGTGATGATTTAGTGCAAAAATGAAAGACAATATGAAGAGATCAGATATCTGAAAGCGTGGAGTAAATCAGATAGCCCACGAAATCGAAAATCTGAAAGCGTCCATATTTAGCTCTTTCAGCAACTTGATGTCATCCTGCTTTAATATTTTTTTTCACTTAAATAATTAGGAATTAGGAAATAAAAATGGGCCAAAAATATATAACAAATATAATTCTTTATCGACCTTGAAAGAACAAAGAAATAAATACACTCACATCCAAAAATTATAAAACCTTATAACGATAATAGAAATCGGCCGCTACGTACATCTGCATTCTGCATATTGGTTCTTTCTGGATTTGGAAACAAATATTTTAAAATAATAATTTGTAATTTATTTTAATATACCTGGAAAAGTGTGGCTGAAGTAATCCTAAATAGTTGGCGATTTTCCACCTTCAGTTGTTGCACCTTCTGTCTACGTAATGAATAAAAAGACCACCTTGATTAATAGACGCAATAAGAAAACATTTTATAAGAACCTAATACTATTTGTTAAAATAAAATAAAAAAAACCTAATATTTGTTTCTAATTATTTTCTTTTATGTTTTACTTTTACCAAAAAAATATTTATTTTTGATTTTTTTTTTTTGTAAAAAGTTTTAGTGTTATATATATAATTTTAAAAAGAGAAATTGAAGCCCATCAGCCTAAGTTTTCTACTAAAGGGCCAAAACAATTAACCTAACTTCAAAATGATTTTAGATGCAAATTGACCCAAGAAAAGCCCATTAGATGTTGACCCATTTATTAATGTTTTTGTAAGAGTTTTCTTAATTACTCATTCCATTTCACAAAAATGTCATTTTGAATTTTTATTTTTATTTTATAAACAGGGTTGTTTTTTATTTTTGATATAAATTTTTTTAACAAAAATCAAGTTTTAGTTTTATTATATTAGTGTATATTTAGAAAGAGGATTTTTTTAATATATTAATAAAAATCAAATAAACTTTATTGGGTTTTTAATATGTTAAAAACATTAAAATGACTCAATTTATAAAAATAAAAAAAAGAAGGACAATGTTTATAATGATGTAAAAATGTGGATGATAAAGTCACCAACGTCATCTCAATTGCAATTTATCCACAATGACGGTAATATACGACTACAATAAATCTCTCATTATTTGTCATTTGTCAAGTACGTCTCATAACTGTATAAAGTCTATGACCAATTGTAAGCTAACAAAACGTCAAATTCTCGAAATGACCCGACTATTTATTTCATGTTACCATCTTTTTTTATTTGTTAATGCCTGTTTTTGTTAAGTTTTTTTTTTTTTTTTGTTGATGAATATTCTTATTACCATCTTAAATTACCTAAAAGGCTGATGCAGCGGTTCCAAAAACGAAGTCATCCCGAAAATCTCCTCTATCAAGTACTCGAGATTCAGGAGACAGATAAGTTATTATAGTATGTTCGTTCTTCGTAAACTATACAGTTCGGAAAAGGCAAAATGAAAAAATGCAAATTCATTTTTTTTTTTTGGATCTTTGATGCTAAGGATTTGTATGTTTTTTTCTTGTTCAAAATGACTAGAGGTGAGATTTTGTAGACGTTATAAACAATGTGCTTCTTTACATATAGAAGTTTTAGTCTCGTGACGTTAATCTACGTGGAAGTGTATATCCTTATGGTCAAAAACTCTTTTTGCATGTAACACTCTCTAGAACGCTTACAACTTTCACTCTTAAACTAAAAAGGCTGACGATTTCCTTTTACGCACTTTGGTGAAATCGAGACCGTTGATGTAACTTTCCCTACAATCTAAACCCCTTTGGCTGTATATTTATTTATATTTTTATTTTTTAGTGGAAGTGGAGTCAGAGTCCTTGGTTGTAACTTTTAGTTGAACTCCCTCCGTTCAAGCTGGTTTTAATTTGGATTGTGAACTTAGATACGATTTGTAATGAATAATACAGTAGTTGTCACATTGCATAATGGTCGGTCGATCCTCTCGCATAACGGTTTGGTTGTCACAGCGACATTTCATTTTTAAGTGAAAAGCACATATATATAAATGAACTAAACAGTCAACAATACAAATGCTTCATTGATTACTACAAAAAATCTAATTTGGAATTTGAAGAATTTTTATCTACAAAATGTTGGTCTAGAGTATTGAAGAGGTATGCGAACCCAACAAGAGATCAAACCGATTATAAGGAATCTCTAAATTGCAACGATCTCTCTCTTCTTCATCTCTTCTCGATGTGTTCGTCATCAGATAAATAATGGAGCCAACGGACGCCTCGAAACCTTCTGAATCATCCAGAGTCTTATTACTTCCCTCCTCACGCGACCTCTTACGTGACACATCCCATGTTTCTTGCTCCTCTGCTTCTTCGCTCTTTACGACAAGTCTATTGAGAAACTGCTTGAACCAGTTAACGGAATCTTTTGGATACCGTTCGAGATTGTTATCGTAGTCAACATAATACAAGCCGAATCTAGTAGAGTATCCATGCTCCCACTCAAAATTGTCTAGTAAAGACCACGTGTAGTATCCTCTGACGTCACATCCATCCTCTCTGTTGTAGCAATAATAAAATAAAAAAATTAAATCATTAATAAAATGTTAATGTAAGGCCCAATTTTCATTTTGCATTTAAATGTTGGCTTTATCTTCTAAACAAACATTATATATAATTATATTTTCTATCAAATTTTGTTTGTATTTACGATTCCTAATGAATTTTGGTGAAATTGATTGATAGATTTATAAAATGTTGCAAAATCGCATCTGTTTTTATAAAATTGT